GACGTCAGGCATGGAATCCAGAAGCTTGTCCCTGAAATCAGAGGTGTTTTAGTGCACGGGTCCCTCCTGCAGGTGCTTTAGCTTTGGGATGGGCCCGCGGGCATGCCGGCGGCTGCTGACAGCCATAGCCAAGCTGAGCCGTGGCCGCGCTGAGTTCCTGGACCTGGCTGAGAGGCTGCAGCCTAAGGTAACGGTGGGGTGGAGGGCACGTAGGTTAAGGTGGGGCTGGACACCAGCTTGTGTCCCTGCCCCAGCTCATCAAGGCCCTGAAGAAGGCGATGGAGCCGGCCGTCAGCGACATCACCATCGACTGGTACGTGCCCGACAGCACTGAGGCTCTGCTCTCCCCCACTGAGATCGCAGCGCTCTACCCCGGGGACCGGCTCATCAGCTACTGCACCCTGTACAGCATCGCCCGGTTCCGGGACCAGCGCCCTGCGGTGAGGCTGGGGGAATACTGCCATTGTGGATCCTCATGACCACCTTTGTGGCCCCCTCCAGTGCTGCCACAGGGGCTGACACTCTCTCTGCAGGGCCGGGATGCGGCTCGCCGGGGCTCAGCTGTCCCATTGCAGGAGGAGGTGCCCACCCCAGGGGGCACACGGCTGTCCCGAAGCTCCAGAGAGACCTCCGTGGAGATCTCAGCCATTGGCACAGAGGAGTCGGAGCGCAGTGAGTAGAATGGGCATGGAGAGGAGCTGAGAGGTGGCACAGGGGCTGTAAGCTGACAGCTGTGTGCTCGCCCTGCAGGTGCTGACCTCACTTCAGGGGGAGACATCTGGAAGCGTATTTACCAGCCCTCCTACATCCAGGAGCAGTACGTCCTGACGCACTGCTCGGTCAGCACGGAGCGCAGCCAGGGACTGCTGTCCCGCAGCTCCACCAGCAGTGAGTCCACTGGTTCCCGTGATGTGGCCCCTGACAGCGGCTCTGCAGCCCCCGACACTACCTCCCAGCAAGGCCAGAAGAGCCTGTCCCTCTGTGAGTCCTCCACCAAATCTGCCCCGCTGCCCTCGGCTCCTGCTGCCATCAAGGTAAAGAACGCACCAGGGCTTCTCTCTACCTGTCTGGGGCCTTGTCACACCACTGAGCCTGGATATGGGGATGTTAGGTTGGAAGCTGGAGGGCCATGGCCTGCATTTAGCCAGGGTCAGCTCTGGGTATTGCCAGCAAGCTCCTCAGATGGGTTTGTCTTGCTGGAACTAGAGAGCTGGGGACTAAAGAGCCAGTCCCCCCCAGGTGCCAGCACCCCTAGGCCAGTAGGCAACAGTGTGGCTAAGGAAAGCCTCAGCCAGCTCACGTCCTCACTGATGCTGCAGAAATGAAGTGGAAACCATGTGGCCGTCAGGCAGTGAACCTGCCAAGGCAGGGAGGGGGTGGTCTGGCTCCTGCCCGGCTGTCACAGCCCTCTGCCAAAGCCGCAGAATGCTCTGTTAGCGATGGATTTGTCCCTGCTGCTTTGTGTCTGGGTTTGGATCCAGCCTGGTCGCTGTGCCAGGGGAGGCTGCTCCCTGCTAAGCACAGTGCCGCGTCCCTGAGGCCAGGTGAGGCCAGCTGTCACCCAGCCCAGCACTGCCTGTTGCACCCTCCCGACGCGTTAGGTAACCCGCTGCACAATAGCACACACAGCTGGTGGCCTTTGCAGCTGAAATGTCAAGCGTAAGTGATTTCCCCAGTGTAAACCATCCCTGTGCTCCTGCTGCTAACTGTGGGTGCTGCAGCTGTGTCCCAGTGTGGGGTTTTCAGCACCCACCTGTCTGGAGCAGCTGAGCTCAGCCCCCACAAATGCAAACATCACCAAAAACACATAGAATCGTTGAACCGTTTGAGTTGGAAGGGCCCCTTAAAGACCATCTGGTCCCTGCACTGAACAGGGACACCCACAGCTCCATCAGGCGCTCAGAGCCCCATCCAGCCTGACCTTGGGTGTCTCCAAGGATGGGGCATCCCTCCTGTCTTCACGTCAGCCCTAGACAGATGTTTGCAAACTCACGTCTCGGTGCTGTCATTCCTTCCCATGTGCACTGAGCACTGCATGAGCACAGCCCGCTGTGAGGGAGGTGATGAATTTTGGGTGCCAGCTCACACTGCAGCAGGGCAGGGTGCCAGATATGGCTGCGGGGGTTGAGTGTTGGCAGAGCTGGACCTGCACTCTGTGCCGCTGAGCCCCGGCTCGCCGTGAGCTCCCCGCAGGTGCCGGTGTCACTGAGCAGCGAGGAGCTGGCACGGCAGCAGAAGGCGCTGGCACGAGCTGCCCTGGCCGGCCGCAGCTTCTCCTCACCGCACGGGGAGCTGGATGCACGCCGGCTCTGCCGTGCCCTGGAGAAGGTGTCCCAGAAGAGGAACCAGTCTGTGGAGGGGCAGCTGGACCAGCTGGGCCCCAGGACACCGCGGCTGCAGCGCAGCACTGGGGAGTCAAGTGAGTGCTGGCCCTGGGAATAATGGTCATCCCAGTGTCACATGGAGTCACTGCACTGACCCTGCGTCCTGGGCCACGCAGATAACCTCCTGTCACCGACCCACCTGGACTGGGACATGCTGGTGGAGCCCTCTTACCTCTTCAGTGCAGTGGTGCCCGAGGCCAAAGAGCCCGGTCAGGGTGATCCCTGCCTGCCCCTACGCTGCCACGTAGTGATCCACGGACTGCACGCAGGCCAGCCTGTGTCCTGGGAGGTGACGGCCTCACTGGAGGCCCTGCTGCAGCCACGAGATGGGGTGGGCAGTGAGGAGCCCCTGCAGCGGGTGGCCACAGCAGGGGAGAAACCATTGCATGGCTTGGCAGCACGGTCCGTCATCCAGGACAGCGAAAAGGCGGCACAGCGTGAAGCTGAGCTGGAGCAGGGTGAGTGCTGGTCCCTGTCCTGGTCACCATCACCATCACCGCTTGCTGACACCTTGCTCTGTGCAGGTTTCGCCCGCCGCTTCCGCCTGAAAGCCATGCAAACCAGCAAAGCCTGCAACGTGCCTTCCCTCTACACGTGCATGGTGCCTGTGGATGGGGCCACACGGGTGGTGCTGCCCGCAGCCCCGCAGGTGTGGAGCACAGGTAGGGCTGGGGGGGACGGGGTGGGGATGGGAAATTGAGCATGGCATATGCCAAGCTGCCATTGGTGCCTTGCAGCCACACGCAGCACAGGCATGGCGGGGAGCCGGCATCGCCGGCAACGGGATATGGAGGAGCGGGAGGCTCTCATTGGTGCAGGTATGGACCCAAACCCTGACATCCCACCCCAAGCCCTCAGGGACCTTGATGACCCTGAGCATAGCAGGGTGTCCCCCGAACTGCAGGTGCCCAGCCCAAGTTGGTGGTAATGAGGCTGCAGGAGGAATTGATCTCTGCTCCACGTTGGGCACAGGGTCAGCAGCAATGTGTCACGAGGACTGGGCTGTGCAGGTCGCCGGGCCTCAGTGACCTCAGTGCTTTGCTGTTTTGCAGAGAGGGATGAGGTCCCTGGGTCTCCGGTTAGTGCCTCCTCTGCCACCTCTGGCTGGGAAAAGCAGAACGGCTCTCACGGTACGGACACGGCCCTGGGGATGAACCCATCCCTGTGCACTGTGGCCTCTTTGCACTGCCTGCTTCTCCCATTGCAGGGCTTCCAACCAGCCCCTCGGGCTCCTCCATGGCTTCTCGGAAATCCACAGAGAGCATTGCTGGCTCCAGGTGGGGCTGCGCTGCATGGGTTCTGAGGTGGGGGGATGAAGCACCTCAATGGGAGGAGTCAGGCAGTGTCACCTCTTGAGTGCTGCAGGTGTGGGTGGGATGGGAGGGTGAGTGGTCCAGCCCCATCTTTGCAGCAGTGTGCAGGGGTCCTGCTACCCCTTACTAAGGGACAGGTGGCACCTTGCCCTATTCATTCACTGTTTGCAGGTTCAGCCTGACCAGGCGCAGGGGGCCCAGCCTAATGCTGCGACCACAGTGCCTCAGCCCTGAGAGCGAGTGCTCCAGCACGGCCGCCAGCCACAACTACCTTCCTCTGGTAAGGACCCTTCCAGGCTGTGCTTGGTATCACCAGCTGCAGCTGCAGAGGATGCTTTTCCAGTGGCTCTGAGGAGCACTGCTGCATCCACAGCATTGGGCAGCCCCTGCAACCCAGGTCCCCTCCTGCAATGCCAAGTATTGGAACTGCAGACAATCTGGGTCCCTGCTCGCTCCGCTCAGTCTCCTAACCCCCTTGCAGGTGCAGTTACAGCAAGCACGGGGGCTGTTCCAGCTCACTGAGACCTTTTCTGAAGTGGTGCAGATCCCCCTAGACCGCCTGCGCCGTGCCTCGCCCTATGCCTCCCACCGTGCCAGCCTCAGCCCCACATCCCCCATGGCCAAGAGCAGCCCCGGGGCAGGGCTGTGCACCGAGGGCGAGGAGCAAATTGCAGCCCCGGAGCCTGGCTCACCCCAGTCCCACAGCACTTGCTCTGAGGTGCCCAGTGCAGCCGTGTGGGCGCAGGCAGACAGCGGACATGGCTCCGAGTCTGACACCGCTCCCCATTCGGCCGCCCCATCAGAAGCGGGCTGGCAGGACGTGGGGCTGGAGGACCTGGAGAGTGCCAGCTGGGCCACAGCCGTGGCCCTGGCGTGGCTGGAGCATCGCTGTGCCAGCTTCTTCGATGAATGGGAGCTGGTGGCAGCCAAGGCAGATGCGTGGCTGCAGGCACAGCAGCTGCCCGAGGGCCTGGATGTGAGCTGCCTCAAAGGGGCGGCCCGGCACTTGTTCCTGCTGCTGCGGCACTGGGACGAGAACATCACACTGAACATGCTGTGCTACAACCCCAACAACGTGTGATGGCCGCAGGGGCCATCAATAAAGCTGCCTGGCTCGGTGCTGCCTGTGTGCTTCCATTCAGCCCAGAGACCTGGAGAACATCAACCCTTCCCCCCAGGGGGAGGGAGCAGACAGGAGGTCAGGAAACAGCCAGGCTGCAGGAGGGGCATCAAAGCCACTCAAGCCTTGCATCAAAGAGTTTTGCAGATGCTCTAACTTAACCTTGTTCCACATGCTGCCCTCAGGCACCACTCTCCAAAAGGAGTGCACTCTGGGCATTGTCACAGCACAAGGACATTGCAGCCAGGGAAGGGCCCCCAAAGCCCCTTTATTGGAGAAGTCCTGCCCAGCACGGGCTTCCACACTGCCCCCTTTGTAGTTCCAGGGCTCGTGGCCTTCCTCAGGTGGCCAGGAGCAACCTGGAAGGAAGGCAGGCAGAAGAACAAGCAGAGGAGCAGACCTGGAGTCCCTTCCCATTGTCCAGCCAGCGCTCTCACTTTGCCTTCCTGGAGAGGGGATCGGACTTCTTGCTGGGCTGGGGGGGCTGTAGGGCTGGTGGCAGGGCTGTGCCGTACCACAGCTGGAGCAGGATAAGTCCGTGACAGATGTGCAGGGAGAGGGAGCTGCAGACAGTGGAGGGGTAGGTGTTCCAGCAGAGCTCGATCACGCCCAGCAGCAGCACCCTGTGGGGGGAGCCAGGAGTTAGTAGGGGGGTACAACAGCCTCCTCAAAACCTCAGCAGCCACATAACACCGAGCCCTACCAGCACATACTTGGGCATGTGAGTGAGCTTGGAGGTCGGGGTGCACCACAGCAGGTAGGGCAGTGTGTGGAAGTACCAGACGTAGAACTGGTAGTGCAGGGAGCGGCTGCAGCAAATGCCCAGAAAGTTGGAGGAGAAGAGAATGAAGATGATCTGTGAGCAGGCATTGAGGTAACAAACCCAAGAAACTGGAAGTGCAACCCTGCTGTGGCTCGCCAGGAGCAGCCTTCCAGTGCTTGCCCTGCCCTTCCCATTCTCCTTGCCCCCCACCCTGCCAAAGGATATTGTTGACGCTCAAGGGAGGGGACGGGTGCTTCCTCTCGGCTGGATCCTTCAGCAGAGATAGGATGCTTTCTTTGGACCTGCTCGGAAAGCACAAACATCAGTTTCAGCTTCTCCAAGCCTTTCCCATCCCAGTTTCCCCCCATGAGCCACAACCCTGGGGGCTGACAGAATATGGCTGATGGGGGACCAGTCCCCACGGGGACACCCAGTTCTCACCTGTGCCATCGGTGCAGTGCAAAGAGCACCAAGCCAGCCAGGTGGGCCAGGAGCAGCCCGGCATGGAAAGCCCGGTGCTGGAACACCTCCTCTGGGAGGAAGCGCCAATTCACTGTCCACTTGAACTGGAACTGACGGCCCAGGTCGAAGGAGCGTGTCAGGTACCCCACGGGATTCTCCAGCAGGAAGGGCAGCCCTAGGGCCACCTGCAAGATACAGCAGCCAATAATGGGGGCTCCATCACCCCCACTGCATGCTGAGACATATATTGTGGACAGCCAAAGTTGGGAGCCCTGGGGGTCTGTTGTTAGCTATATGGGGCCAACACAGGGGCTGGAGCTGCAGCACACCCACCCAAGGGTCTACAAGACGCTCTGGTGACAGCAGGCAATGGCGAGTGGCAGGGACCAACCTGGAGCACAGCACAGATGCAGAGCTTGGGGATGCAGCCCAAGAGGCCAAAACGCTGTAGGAGGAGAAAGAGCAGCCCGGGTGCGAAGAGGAGGATATTCATCTTCACTGACACGGCCAGGCTAGGTGGGAAGCGGGGTTACAGCACGGCCTACACGGGGAGAGCCTCACTCTGAGGCCAGCCCCGGCGGCCCCACACCTGAACAGCAGGCAGCCCCAGGACCAGTGGTCCTCCAGAAAGAAGTTGATAGCGAGGAAGAGGATGGCCATGGCCACAGGGTCGTTGAAGAGCCGCAAGACGAAGATGGAGTGGATGCGGTAGGAGGCGCAGCACATGAAGAAGAAGACGTACGGGGGGACCTGGCGGGACAGAGGCTCAGTGCGGGGCCTGGCACACACGGGGCGGCACATGGCGCCGCTCGGCGTGGTACCCCTACCTTGCCGGTGCGGCAGTAAATGCGGAAGACGAGCAGCAGGTTGAGCAGGTAGAGCCCGGCGAAGATGTGCTGCGCCAGGCGGATGTCGGCCCCGCGGCCCGTGGCGTAGTACAGCCCCAGGAAGAGGTACACAAAGCCGGCGGGGTAACTGCGGGCACACACCGGGCGGGCCGCGTTGCCCCCCATCCCGCCCCACACCGCCCACCTCACAGGCCCCATACTCACACCAGCGGCCCGGTGTCGCCCCGCAGTTGCGTGTAGTCGCGGGTGCCGTTGGCGAAGCCCTCCACCTCCTGCATGTACGCCTGCCAGTCGATCTCGGTGTCTGTGGGGCGGGTGGGCGGCTGAGGAGGGCGGCTCGGGGCTCCCCTCACGCCGCCCCGCACCGCCCGCTACTCACAGGGCACCCTGCGGATCACCCACAGGTTGACGCCGCCCTCCGCCAGGCACAGGCAGGCGGCCACCAGCGGCGTGTAGCGGGGCTCCAGCAGCACCTCCCGACAGACCCGGCGCAACCTCACCGCCATGCCGCCTCCCCCGACGGAACTCTTTACTGATGAGGACGCGTTTCCAGCCGGAAGCCCTAAGCGGCAGGATCGGAAGTCCTTAACGACGAGACCGGAAATCTGTAGGCAGCGCGGCGCTCCCAGCCGGAAGCCCTTAGCATATGCACGCCGGAAGCTGCACGTGTTTCGCCGCCGTCGCCATGGAGCGGCGCCCCCCGCCCGCCGCCGCCAATCGGTGCTACGCGCAGCGCCGCTTCTGGGAGGAGCGGTACCGCCGGGCGGGCGCTGAGCCCCAGGAGTGGTTGGGCGGCTTCGAGCGGTTCCGCGCGTTGCTGGAGCCCGAGCTGCGTCCCGAAGACCGCATCCTCGTGCTCGGTACGAGCGCGGTGTAGGGTGGGAGGTGGCCCCGGGGCTCGGAGGGTGCGGTTGTAGTGGTGCGGGTCGGGGCGGGGGGGCGGCGGGGCTGTGTCAGTGCGCACTAATCCCACCTGAGCCGCGCGGCTTAGCGGACTGAGCTGAGCCGGGCAGGTGTCGTCAGGCGGTGTCATCGCTGATCCCTTTAGCGGCTCAGCGGCTGTGGACAGCGACCCCCGGGGCTGAGCTGTGCCCCGCCGTGCCCGGCTCGGCACCGCGCTGCCATCCGCTGGGGTCCGGGGAGATTCGGCGGGAGCCCGCTAGGGGGTCCCGTTGGAGTCACCCCCCGGATGAGCGCCCCCGGGACACTGCTCGGCTCATGGATGGCACGGACTGGGTTGGGGGATGCGAGGTTATTGGGGTCTCATTGGGGTGAGGGCACAAGATCTTGGGGGTCCCATTGCTGTGGGGAGCACAAGGTCTTGGTAGTCTCATTAGGATCAGCCCCTGGCTGGGTATCCCCAGGACATTTCTACTGGGGTCCCTGGGGATGTGGGCAGGGTTGAAGGGCACAGGGGTTCCGTTGGGGTCCCAAGGGGTACAAGGCTGGGCCCCACTTAGGGGTCCCATTGAGATTATCCCCAGCTGAATGTTCCTGAGACAGCATTTGGCTCCTGGGGTGCATTGGCAGGGTTGGGGGATACGGGCAAGATCGGGTGGCATGCAGTGTTTTGGGTGTCACTGGGGACATCCCCCAGCTGAGCATCCCCAGGACATCCCTGCTCAGGTCACAGAGGATGCGGACAGGGTTGGGGGGACATGGTGGCAGGATTATGGGATATGACATCTTGGGGTTCTCACTGGGGTGCCACTAGGGTTCCAGGGCACAAGGCAGGACCTTGCTTAGGAGTCCTATTGGACTGAGGGACACAAGGGGGGATTCCACCTGGAGGTCACACTGAGTCAGTCCCCAGCCACGCATCCCTGGGACAGCACTTGGGTCCTGGGGAGCATGGGTTGGGGAGCACAAGGATTTAGGATTCCTATTATGCTCCCGTTGGAATTGGGAGCTCAGGGTCTTGGGATTGTCCTATTGGAGTCCCATTGGAACTGGTGATGCAAGGCAGGGCCCTGCCTGGTAGTCCTATTGGGACCAACCCCCCACTGAGCATCCCCATCCCTGCACAGGCTGTGGGACCAGCGCCCTGAGCTATGAGCTGCACGAGCTGGGATACCGTGACGTCACCAGCATCGACTTCTCACCCGCCTGTGTGGAGGCCATGCGCTCCCGCTATGCCCACTGCCCCCAGCTGCGCTGGGCCATCATGGACATGCGCTCCCTGACCTTCCCTGACGCTTCCTTCGACGTGGTGCTGGAGAAGGGCACGCTGGACGTGCTGTTGGTGGAGGAGGCTGACCCCTGGCATGTGTCCTCCCGCGGTGCCGCTGCGATGCGCCGGGTGCTGGCAGAGGTATGGCAGGGATGGGGCGGTGCCCCCTCACCCTTCCTCCCCCAGGTCCCTGAGCGATAAGTGATGGGGCTGGAGGGGCAGGGGAAGATACTGCCCCAAGCCCTTTTGGTGCCTCCCGCAGACTCTCGTAGCCCAATTCCCCAGGAGCGTCGCATATATTGAGCCCCATCCCCACGGCTATGGGTACACAGGGGGCAGTGTGGCCTTGCCAGCCTCAGGCAAGGTGACAGCAGTGGATCAGTGACAGCCCGTTAACCCCCCCCCCCATGCCAGCTCAGCTTTGATCTCCTTAGCGGGGTCCCTGTCCTGCAGTCCCCACCTCAGTGTTGCCATGGAAACCTCCGTCAGCATCAACAGGGCTGTGGCGTTGCTACGGGGACGGGTGATGCCTCGGGGCCCCCATTAATTGGCAGCAGAATGCAACAGGGGGGGCAGTGGGGTGCCGGCAGCCCCCAGCCCTCCTCCCCAGGGGCTGACATCAGAACCACGGCCCCCCCGTGGCTGGGGCTGCCCCCCATCCCCTCGTGCCCCATAGCATCCCAGCTGAGTGGGGCACCCTGCACGCTGCCAGCAACGAGCCCAACCCTGGCATCCCATCCCTGCCTGTCCTTGTCACTGGGCCAAGCAGTAAGGATTTAGGGCTTTTTTTTCTCTTTTTTTTTTTCCCATTTTTAATCCTGCATTCAATCCCTGCCCTCCCCCAGCACCGCCGGGCACAGCACCATCCTTTGGTCCCCGCTGTCCTCACAGAGGGCTCAGCCCTCTCCCTGGTGGGGCACCCCACTGCTTTTCCCACCCCTTTGCTGCATTGGACCCCCCTTACCGATCCCATTGATGCCTCTGACCTGGAAACCTCCATTATGCCACCGCTGTCCCGGGGGGGCTGAGCAGCCCCCGCCCCATAATCCTCTTAGGGAGCCCCCTAACGGGATCACCGCTGTGTGGTGACGGGGGGGGGGGGATGACTTAGGGACGCCCCTGGGGACATTCCCGTCCCTATGCCCAGTACTGGGGGGGGGCCTGTCCCAGTATGGGGTGGTCCTTGGCCAATAATGTCATGGGGATTTTTGGGATGGAGCCCCGGTGCTGTGCCGGGATCCCATTGCCGCAGCCACCCCGGCACTCCTTGGCATGCAGAGCACGCGGGAGCCGGCCGCGAGAGCCTTTTGACATTGTATAAAGCCAAGCAAGAGAATTGATGTTCTTTTCCATCCTATTAGCGGGGGCTTAGCTCCAGCCAGGAGAAAATGGTGATTAAAGGGCCGAGTCCTTCCCCATTCCAACTGCACCTGGGGGGGGGGGGGGGGGGGGGGCGGGGGCCGGGGGGGA